CTCTCCTCCTTGAGCTGCTCCAATCGACGTTCTTGGTCCAGGATAGATATCAAGGTCGGAAAGCCGATTTCGGAGGTGGTTAAGGAGCATCGATGCTGGAGTAGCTGGTGGTCGGCGGAGAAGAGACTCGGATGGTCGGCCATTGGTCGGCAATCAAAACGCAGTCACGGCAATATCCGGCTGGGCACCGCCGACTCTCGTACCAGGCTGCTCAACTCGCGCTGTAGTTCGCTTCCACAACGTTAGAATTATGACTCGCTCTGTTCTCGTTAATTTCGTCACTCCTTGAAGCGGTGAACACGGACAGTACCCGGCGAATACGCACCTCACAAAGTTCGAACACGCTGTAAATGTGAAAATCAATGTTGGAGCGCTCTAGAGTTGTAGACAGCGTCGCCGGAAATTCCAGATTATGCGAAGAGTCAACGGCGAAGGAAAAGTGCCTGAAACCGAAGTTGAACTGTGGCGTCGGCCATCATCCATGACCCAGAATAGCTACTGATAAAAGTCAACACTGACATACGGTCTCACACGGTTCAACTTCTTTTGATATCCCACTTACCTTCCGAGCCTCAGTCTGTGCGGTTTAATCTTCAAAAGCTTCGAGTTGAACATGCGCGTTTTTTTGTTGATTGTTTGGAATAATTTAGCCTCACCGTGGGAAAGCGAGTGACCGACGAAGTCACACTCTCTTTATCTTCTACCACCACATTGACTACTACGTTTCTTGTGCCTCTGCGCCCTCTCGCCCGCTCGAAGCTCGAAAAACCTATCCCTCCTCCTCCTCTGATACATATTCTACGTGTTCGTCGCGTCCTGATTCTGCTCGATGGCTCTAGCGCGCCTCGCCTCAATTCCCCTGGAGCTCCAGTATTTAACGTGTAAGTCGTGTCCAACGCGCGGCCCGTTAAACCTGGTGTCTCAATCTGCTCCCAGCGAATGAGCTTGGCCCCTTTGACCTGCTCGCGCTCAGCCATGTCTCGAAGTACTGGCGCGCCTTTGTGCTGAGCGACAAGCGATGGGTAGAATGGTTTAACGTGCGTCATGCAGCGCCTCTAAACCGCCTCAACTCACTCTATGTTCCAGCTTATCGTCTCATGCTCGGGGGAAAGTCTTGAGGAGTGCCTGTCACGCCTCAATGTCCTTGATATGTTCGCCAAACGGTGAGTACTCTGATCTCCAGGGTAGCGTTCGTTGCTTACATCGGGCCCTGCTGTAGGACGTTGATATACGCGTGCCTGGACGAGGCGTGCACGGGGTGCGGCGGGTACGCGCCGCAGCTCTTCCTCCCGTACATGAAGGTGAGTGGCCGCCTGTATTGATGCTACATAATGATTGATTGAAACCCGCGAAGCGCATCTGCGAAACCTGCCTCCGGCGCGACCAATTCTCGGTCATGCCGCTCTCCGGCGCGCTCGCGAAGTACGATCTAAAGGAACGCGACCTGTACGGCGTGCTTACCTTGTGAGTGCCTCTCTCGTTATTTCTGCCGAGCACTAGACGTTCTTTCGACAAAGCGAGTGGGTTGACCCAAAGCGCAACTCCAAGCGCAAGATTAAGCTCGTCAGCGAGGCGCTCACCAAAAAAATGTGCGTCCCGTTCCTTCCTTTATCCTTCGTATATCCTGACCCGCTGCAGCGCAATTCAGCGCTTCGGCTCCGAAGAGGCCCTCACTACGCACCTCGAGTGGAAGAAGACCTCGGCTAAGAGTGCGTACAGCGCGCGCAGCGAGGACTACCGCGAGGCAGTGCGCACGCGCACAGCGCTCGAGGAGAAGGGGAACCTCGACGCGGCGGCGGCTGTGGTGCTCACGAGCACGGGGCGCAAGATCCCGAAGGCGTTCCCGACGTACCCGCCGATTCTGCTGCCGTCGACGCGCCCGGTCGACAGGAAGGCGGTGTGCTTTGAGCTGCGGGACTTGCTGGTCGTGGGGAGCGAGGTTATGGTTGACACTCATGATGAGGACGCTGAGGACTCTGAGGACGGGGAGTGAAGGTGCGTGTGTTTGTGGTTGCTGGAATATCCGATTTCGTTGATACGTCTGCAGGTTTTTCTTGGTGTTGATACCCTGCGTGGATGGCTTGTATTTTGGTCTCTGTTTTCTTTCTTCCTGGTTCCTTTCTTCCTCGTGGAGGTTCCGCTCGCTGCTTCCTTAACACGCTGCGCTACGTCTGCTTGTCGTGATAATCGCTCTTTAGAGGAAAAATTACGATACGATCCGTACTTGTTTATACACTCCTAACTACCTACATACGACTCGCGGTTGTATATTTCAACTACAGATTTTACTTGTGACTTGTCGGAGGTGTCGGCGCTTTGAACATCTCGGTGCGCCCAGTGGTACCCTAAGGCCACGACGGCGGGTGTGTATATTTCCACCCTAAAATTACGGAAATTACCGGGTAAGCCCAAGACTGAACTCGAATTAGACATGACTTTCCCTTTCTCTCGCGCAGTTTCACTAATACGTGAAGCCGACCGAGTTCAAATCTCTCCTGCTTGATGAAATAAATTTCATCAGTGTTTGAGAAAAGTTGAACAGTCGCACTATTGAACCATCCAAAACTGCGTCGATAACGGATTCATTAGAGCGCAAGCAATTGCAAAGGGAGATGTCAAGCACATAAGTGCGATAGGAGAGAAAAAATGAAAGCCAGGGGACGAGAGAAAAAGTCTGCGCCAAGTGAAAGGGCCTGACACTGATTTGGACAGGGATCTGCTGCATAAACACTTCCGTTACTATGCGAGCTTTGGCAGACACACTAACCAGTTGTACTCTCAGACATCTCCTAAATGTCTTGCATCTTCGGCCAAGTCAAAGGAAAATGGCCCCAGGGATGTGGGAAGTTTCAAATTCATTTCTTCTTCCACTTAATTTCGGGGGGGGGGGGGGGGGGGGTGATTCTGTGCTTGCATTCTGAAATGTGAATGAGCCGAGGGTTGTATGAAAGGCGGGTGTTTGAAAACAAGAGAGTGGGGAATACCAAAAAGAAACAATCAAGGTTAAGTATGCCCTGACACCGGAGTGAACGGAGATCTTCTATTGAAGAATTGCGACGCATGTTGAACACTAAATAGATGCACCACCCGGTTATGCTATCAGGCTGTTCCTGAGCACGTTGTATCTTCAGCTGACTGAAGGAATGGGAGATAGCCCCGGGGATGTGGGAAGTTCAGCTGAGGTTGAATGTTGAGTTGGATCTCTCTCTTCCTTCTGAGTGCGGGCTTGCTTTCAGGGTAATTTGAGTCGAGAAGTTTGTCACAAAAAAATGAGAAGAGGGGACTCGCATAGAAGAGTCAGGAGTCTGAGAGGAAAACGAAAAACGCGGGAGGGGAAAAAAATAACTCCCCATTTGGACATGGCCTGACCCTGGATCAAACAGGGATCTTCTGCAAACCAAACACTTAACAATATAATTGATGCAGTTGCACTAACCAGTTGTGCTATCAGGCCATTCTTGGGCATTCTGGATGTCTGGCTGAGTCAGAGGAAAACAGCCTGGGAGATGTGGTATGGGAGGTTCAGCTGAGGTTGAATTTCGAGTTGGATTTGCTCTGGTTACAGGTTGGGATCTGGGGAGTTTAAATGCAAAGATTGAGATTCGCACTCTAAATATGAGAAGGAAAGATAGTACCCAGCGCCAAGGGCATTTGAAAACCTTGAAAACCAAAAGAGGGAGGGAAAAAAAAAAAAGAGAGAGCTTGTTAATGCATAGCCTGACCACGAATCAAACAGGGAGCTTCTACAGATGCTGCATTCAAGAACCAATTAATGCAGACACACTATTCAGTTGTGCTATCAGGCCAAATATCACTTTGCTTGGATCTTCGAATACACTGCCAAGGCCTCACAGATTGCGATGTTCAAGCTCAAATTTCGGATTGAATTTTATTCTTCCTCTCAGTGATTCTGTGCTTGCATTTGAAGTGCAAATGAGATGAGGGTTGGACGAAGGGTGGGTGTTTGAAAACAAGAGAGAGAGAGTGAGGGAGAAGAAAAAAAGAGAAACAATCCAAATTATATATGGTCCGACCCCGGATCGAAGGGATCTTCTACTAAAGCCTTAAGATTTTTGGTACATAAGTAGATGCACTAACTAGTTGTGCCATCAGGCTCATGCTACTCTTCTTGCATCTCCGAATACACTCCGTAGGGCATGGGATGGGAGGTTGAATTTATTATTTCCAGTTGTCATTGCTTCTTTGACCGGGGGTTGACTTCTGGGAGTTTATCACAAAAAAATGAGAAGAAGGGGGACTTGCACGGAAGAGTCAGTAATCTGAGAGGAAAATGAAAAATGCGGGAGAGAAAGAAAAAAAAACCCATTCAGATATGGCCTGACCCCGGATCAAACAGGGATCTTCTGCAAATCCACGTCCCTGAAACAATTAATGCAGATGCACTAACCAATTGTGCTATTGGGCCATTTCAAACACTGTAGATCTTTAGCTGAGTCAAAGAAAGAATGGCCTGGGAGATCTGGAGGTTGAACTGAGGTTGAATGTTAAGTTATTCCTCCCTTCTTTTGAGTACGGGCTTGCATTCAGAGTGATTTGAGCCGAGAAGTTTGTCACAAAAAAATGAGAAGAGGGGACTCGCATGGAAGAGCCAGGAGTCTGAGAGGAAAACGGAAATGCGGGAGGGAAAGAAAATAATTCCCCATTTGCACATGGCCTAACCTCAGATCGAACGGGGGACCTTCTGCAAACTGGATTCCTAATGACCTAATTAATGCAATGCACTAACTAGTTGTGCTATCAAGCCAATACTACTTTTCTTGCATCTTTTGGTAAACTCCCGAGGCCTAGCAGGTTGAACTGGGTGAACTGCCAGTAATTTCGAGTTGAATGTTACTGCTTCTTTAACCGAGGATTGGATATATAAGAGTGATTTGAAGAGGAGTTTGTTGCGAAAAAGGGTGGGGGACTCGCGGGAAAAATTCTGGAGAGAAAAACGAAAAATGCGGGAGGCGGGAAGAAAAAGCGACTACCAAATAACACGGCCTGACCCCGGATCGAACGGGGATCTTCTCCATAAGAGAGCATCACTCACGTAAGTTGAGGAGATGCACTAACCAATTGTGCTATCAGGTCGATGTTACTCTCCTTGGATTTTCAAATAAACTCCCGAGGCCTGCATCAGCAAAACCTGGTCCCGCTGGCGAGCGCCGGCTAGCGCCCTAGCACTGCTAGCATGGGTCCCCACTTGCTAGCGCTAGCGAGCGTCGGCTAGCACACGCTCGGCTAGCGTTGCTAGCACACTCGGCTAGCGTTGCTAGCACGCTCGGCTAGCGGTCCTGCTAGCGCTAGCGAGCGTCTGCTAGCAACTGCTAGCGGTCTTGCTAGCGCTAGCGAGCAGTTGCTAGCACTTGCTAGCAGGTCTTGCTAGCGCTCGCCAGCGCTAGCGGTCCGTCTGCTAGCACTCGCTAGCATGCGCTAGCGGTCTGCTAGCACGCTATATATAGTATTTGGAATCTGCCTCATAATTGAATCACACAATACATTCAAATGAAGTAAAATGCCATTTCAAGACTACTACGAAACATGATGACTAGCATTACCCGGAAAACCAAGTCCACTACCTTCCCGAGGCTTGCACGGCGGGTTGGCATGAATTCCGCAACATGGACGCCCGTGTGAGGGTGCAGCGAGCTCCAAGTCGGGTCCACCAAGCACCTGCGCTGCCGGAGCGCGAAGACGACGGACGAAGCAAACACACGGGGGGAACCGCCCAGCTTTCGGCGCCCAGCGACCTGCGGAAATCAAAATCAGCGTGCACCCATTGGAATAAGTCCCTCCACCCGCGTACTGCGCGAATACGCGCGCTCAAGATCGGATAATTTGACCACAGGTGAAGCAATATGAGCGTGGTCAGTTGCAGTTAGTGCTCGCAAGTGCTGGTTCAAGGGAATGAACGAACCATGAACCATCTCCTAGAGCTAGTGCCACAAATGCAAAGGAGCCGAGGGCGTCGCACGCGGAGTCATCGCCAGGTGAGTAATATACACGCCCATGCGCAATCTGCGTTTCGCATTATCTGAGAAGCGAGTGCAAAGGAGATAACAAGAGTACGCACCCAACCTCGTTCCGGTCTGTAGATAGCTCTGCGAGGAGCGCGGGCGTCAGCAACACAACCACACCCCGATTGATCCATCAGCCCAGGCCTATTTCAGAGGGACTCCCGACGCACATGCAGCATTCAGTGCGCCATACACCAGCACGATCGTCACGACACCTTGCCCCGCTGCCGCGGGCGCGAGCATGCAGAGGACGCACGTGGAGGCGAGGAGCATCATCGGGATGAGGTCCGCGAAGCTCCCCACGCGATCTATGAGCAGCGGCGGGAGGAGCAGGCCGATGACCCCGCCTGCGTTTAGGACGGAGACCTACAGAACGTCAAACATAAATATTAGGCGGAGCGCAGTCGACGCGACGCACGGTGTCGGACGCGAACTGCGCGCGGATGCCGCGTGTCAGCTGCAGGTAGTAGGCTACGGAAAGAGTGGGATGAGTTGGCGAAGGATGGCGCAAAGGCAGGGACGTACCGGGATAGAACAGCCCGAGTATGATCACGAGCCCGGCGAGAACGAACACCATGTACGCGGGGCGCGCATCGGCGGGTAGCGCGTGCATGAGGAGGTCGGCAAGCAGCCTACGGGGCAGTATTAGAGTGATTGACGGGAAAGAAAGGACACAAGGTAAAGAGAAGGGCACACACAGGAGGCCGGTGACGAGGCCCGCAGTCGCGCGGAGGCCGATGACGAACGCGCGCTTGAACAGCAGACGCTTGAGCACGAGGGGGAAGACTATCCCGCCGATCGAGATGCCTGCGAAGCGTCAAGATGCGGATGTAAAATCGAAGGAAGGGAAACAGACCGTTTGTCATGAGCCCGATCGCCAGCCCACACCGGCGTGCAAAGGGGTGCTCGACGGCGCCGAGCGCGGGGAGGAACGTGAAACCCAGCCCGATGCCCAGGCCTACCCCGGCGCGTCCGTGAGTTTGGCTGAAGGTAACTTAAGATGGAAGGGGAAGCATACCGACGGCCTGCGTGAGGAAGACCTGCCAATAAGGTTGGCCAGCGGGCACCCTTATGCATTGAAGTACCTGATATCATTCATTCAGGAGCGCGCACACAACAGGGAGGAGGGTGCGCACCTGAGCCCCGCGACGTAGGCCATGAATCCCCCGGCGACGGTCGCCCATGCGCGCAGAGCTCCTGATCTGCATATTGCTGCTTTTGCTTTTTATTCCAGGTGCGGTTGTGGTTGCGGTCTGGTCGGTCGAAGGGACGTGGAGAGGTCGGAGGTGGACGAGGTTTTTTCGGTCACCAAGGTGCGATGGGGAGGCGGGGAGGCTGGGGGCGCACGGCACGTTATATGGGCCGAAAATAGAAAAAAGCGAGGAATTGACGGACGACCTGCCGCTGCGCGAGCCATTGAAATTGCCACAGCTGTGGCGGGAATGATGGTGCTACGGGTAGTTGATTGAATATAAAAGAATGCTACCACAAGAGTCTGAGGGCGTACCGTTACAATGCTTCCCAAGTCCACTGGTACCACATAGCTCCCACACGAGAAGCAGCGCTGGCACGTCCTCGTCGCTGCCACCGAGCATGCTTAGTCCCCTAGATCCGTGCCCTCACATACGCAGTTCCGAATCCAGCTTGGCGTAATCGCCAGGGGGCCGGGACAAGTGCAATGCGCAGTACTTCAAGTTGATAAGTAAAACCGTGACGGCGGTAGCGCTGGAGGCCGTTAGGAGGGGCCCCGTCTGGCGTAATCGCCAGACGGGATGTGGCGAGATGGGTGAGTGAGGTGGACGACATCGTGGTTGAAGAGAAAGCGAACCATGGCCAAATATTTGCATTGTTCCATTCACATCACGTGCATTCTCCCCTGCAAATTTTCTCTAAGTCGTCGTTCTCCAGTGTATATCGCGGCGTCCCTCTCCACTCTACCTCGAGCCTTCATATTGCCTTCTGCCGCCCTCTCCTGGAGGACTTTTGCTTCCTTCAGCTCCCCGGCACACTGTTGTCAAGGAGCAACTACTAGTAGCACATCGTTCAGCGCTATGTATATCTTCCCCGTCCCCGTTTGCGCGTACGTGCTAACGTGCCCAGGTTCTCGCAGAGGGTGAGTGCGAGTCCATGGATCTACGGACCTGCGCCTCAACATCTCCTAGCTCAAGGCCAACACGGACGATCTGCACTCCAAATTCGAAGCATTGCGGATCTCGAGGCGCGGCTGAGCAACGACCCGCACGCGCTGCTCGCCGCCGAGAGCCAGTACCGCTCCTGCTCACTATCTACCGGTCCATGGACAAGAACCTCGGCGTGGACAGGACGCCGGTACGCACCCTCTATCTTTTCTTTCTTATCCCACTAACTCACGCAGACGCACAAAAAGGTGGGGCAGAGACGAAGCTGTTCACCAACTTTGGTGTCTTCCACGACAACCTCATCACGCGGCTCAAGTCACTCAGCCAAATCCAGGTCGATTTTGACCGGCGCGCCAAGGAGGTGGAAGCGTGCTTCGCGGACAAGCTGAACGTCATGCGCAAGCAGCTCGACATGCGGTGGAAGCAGATCGACAAGTACGAGGCCGACGTCAAGGGCTGCGCGGACGCTAAATTCGGCTGGCGGCGCAAGCTCAGCAGCCAAGGAGGGCTAGGCGAAGGTGCGTGCCCCGCATCTCTTTCACACTAGCTGGTTGTTGATCCGCTGCAGATCACCAATGGCGAGCTGGCGGGCGCGCGCAAGCCGGGGCGGCCCAACCCGATGGAGATGCGCTCACTCAGCACTCGTGCAGCCAAAGCAGAGCGGCGCCTCAACAACACGCCGAACGAAGGTCGCCGTAATGAACCAGAAGAGCACCGCGGCGGACGCCAAGTGGGAAGCGCGCGTGCGCAAGTCCGAGGCGCGCCTCACAACCGCGAGCGCCAGAGCGGCAAGGAGCACGTGGCGGAGCTCGAGAACAACCTCAAGTAAGTGTATAACTCCCCAACCCTGGCCTTCATTTTCTCAATCTCCTTTCAGGAGCCATCCGCAGTTCAACCTCACGCAGAAGCGGAATCAGCGACTGAACGAGGTTGTAGAGGCGGCGAAGCTGCCGCCTAGCTGTACAAACCTCAATAAACATATGAGCGCACCGTTTTCACGACGACTCGGAGTAGTATTTTTTATTTACTACTAGTAATAATGTTCTGTTTTCAACATTATGCAAGAGTCGAGGTAACGGCTGTCCGAGTCGTTCAAATCTCAAGGTTGGTGTACATGCTGATGGGAAACCGGACACGGATGAAACTCCGAGCTTAGTACATGTATTACTAGTAGTTGGAGCAGAACTTCATTAATATTGCTAGGGAAATGTGAGCCTGCGAGCGAGCGCTAGCTAGAACCCCGGTTGCTAGCGAGAAGTTGATGTGCTAGCGAGCGCTAGCGAGAAGTTGATCTGCTAGCGAGCGCTCGCGATCGCTAGTGCGCTAGCACCCAAATCAGGGTTTGCTGATGTGGGATGGGAGGTTGAACGGTGAGGTTCAAAATTTAAAGGATTTGCTGGCATGAATTTGTGGGTTCCTTCGAAATTTGTACGGTAGAGGGCGAGGGGAGATTGGAAAAGGGATGTGGGGCATGTAAAAAGAGGGACAGATAAGGGGCGAAGGCTGTGGATTTGCGAAGAAAAAAGGCGAACAAAGATATGATCTGACCCCGAATCGAACAGGGATCTTCTGCAGAATCACACCATGGACGAAACACTTGTTGCAGAAGCACTAACCAGTTGTGCTACCAGACCACTGTCGGGCAAGTTAGATTTTGTGCTATGCCGGAGCCTCAAGAGTTCAAGTGGCCGGTACTTCAAAATACTTCAAAAGTTCATAGCGGGCGATTGACTCGGAGGGTGCGAACGAAAAAAAAAACCCCTTCCGTCGATTTCGAGTCCAGTCTAAGGAATAAACCAGTCCCAAATTTTCTACCTTCAAGTCGCCGGTCAAAGCGAGAAATCGAAATGTCGGTTGCGCTATCACGTGCCCATCTGACTCTTTCCGCACCACAACAATCGATGCCGCCCAAGTCGTCTGCGTCGTCGGCGACCCGCAAGAAGCACACGCGCAAGGCGGCGGGGCCCGTCGTTGAGACGGAGGCGCCGCCGCCGCGTGAGAAGGGCAAGAAACACAGGCCTGACCGGCCGCGGCAAAAGGCGTACATCGCGCCGGTGAAGACGTCGGCGGCGCTCGCGGACCCGCTGGAGACGACGGGGCTCGCGCATAGGCCGCCGCCTGAATTGTTTGTCGTGCTGCGGAGCCTGGGGAAGAAGGCGCCGGTGACGAAGGTGCGCGCGCTGGAGGAGCTGCAGAGCGGGTGGGTCGACCGCTGCGGCGAAGACGGCGACGAGAGCGTTGTGTACGCGCTGCTGGATATGGTGCTGGTGTGGCTGCACAACCTGCCAGCGCACCTGCTGCACCCTGACCGTCGCATCCGGCTGCTGACTGCGTCGGTGCACGCCGCCCTCCGCCGAATCCCGCTGCTCGCCGCCCCGCTGTCTGACGGTGCCAGCACCACCGCCGCCAGCGCCTGGGCCCCCGCTACGTATGCGTTTGACGCGTGGATATTCGGGTTGCGCTGCTTTGTAGAGGTGAGTTTTTGCCCCTCGCCTTGTTTACCTTCCCTTCCTTCTCGCCCTCCACGCACCCGAAGTACCACCCGGGCCGCTTACATGCATACAACGAAGACTGACGCCGCGCACCGACCTCAATGCGCTGCCCGCACCCCGCACGTACGCGCTCTGCGTCGCATCATCTCTATTGTCTGCATATCTGACGCACCGCGCGCCGACTCCTGGACGTCTTACCGCACCTCAAAGTCCCGGCGGACTCTCCGCACTCTTGTCCCGCCCGATGTGGTGCGCACGCTCGAAGTCGACCCCGGGGACGCTCCCCGCGGTCTCCTCCCCGTATTCTTCGCCAGCGTCCTCACCATACCCGTGCCGGTGACCATCTTCGAACAGGCCCTGCACACGCAGCCCACTTCCTCTCACCCACTGCGGCACCGTCAGCGTGGTTGCGCGCGTCGAGTAGACGGCGTGCCGCCCACTGCGTTCGAAAATCGTGGCGCTGCTCGGGGGGCGTGATGGGCGCGGACACCGTGGACAAGGTGGCGCTCCTGCCCGCGAGATGCTGCACGGTGCTCCTTCCACTGCATCGCAAGCGCCAAGTAAGTTTGCACTTGCACTTTTACCGCTAGCATTTCATCTTGTGACGATCCGCCTCCCTGCATGCGGCGACTAACACGCATAAGCGATTCTCTGGGTTTATTTCAGTGTCTTTCCTATCGCTCATGGGTGTCGCTCAGATGCTCCTTTCTTCGGCAACGACGTCGACGGCGTTGATGGCACTTTAGGTAACATTTCGTCCCGTACTTCCTCTTGTTGCATATCTTCCCTTCAGGCGTCCGCGCTTCGACCGCTACAATTACCTTGCTTGACAAGGTCTCTGGAACCTCAAAATTGCGTGGGACCCAGCCCACCCGCCTTGATCCGATCACCGAATCTTTCCGATTCTCAGTTTGAACCGGAGGCACCCCTTTGTGTATTTTTATTCATATTTCCAATCTACCGTGCATCATTGTCTATTCAATCCTTTTGAGATCAGTGCATTGTCCAAATCCTTCAGTATTAGTGAAAAACAGACTCAACAGAGCACGGTACTTCTTTTTCAACCAATTCGGCAACTTCGTGCGCTTATCTCGCCTGACATCGGGCTCTTCAAATTTCTATCCCACCAACTCTCAGGAAATCAGTGTATTCAGAGATACCAAGATGTAATTCACTTCGCACTTTGCATCACAAGAAAACAAGAAATAAGAGACAATGGAAAATTCGTTTCAAGCCATCAACCGGTAATAGTTATCCACATCTAGCTCGATCTCATCTTCGATGGCACTAAGCGAAGTCAGTACCGCGTCGACAATTCAACCAAGGAGAAAAACCGACCGATACAGGACGTCGAGATCCAACTTCAGCTCGCGCTTCACGCCAAACGATCGACTGTAGAGCTCGACCGTGTCCCCCGTCGACTTTATCTCACCATATTCCACAGGAGTTACCGTCAGCATCTCTGTTGCGGTAAACGAATCGGGAGGTTCGTTAGGCCCGAGATCCACCTCGATATTGGGACTGAACATCATGGGAAGAACAGTCGCGTCGGCCGCCTTTTGAATACCAGCAGCCATAAGCATAAAACGGCACGATGTTGCTGTAGCGGCCGGTAGAATCGAGAGCGGGACGATGTTGAGCTGCTCGACGCAGAGCCGCTGGGTATGGGTACGAGCGCCGGATTGGGATTGGGATGACACGACGCCGAGGTGCGCGATGAGGACCATGGGGCACAAAGGAGGGATTGGCACCAGCTGCCCGAGAGCGCACGTAGCGTATTTCTCGAAAAGAGTCTTCAAGTACGGATCCGGTTTTGCCAAGTTCTCGGAGAGCTTGAGCAGCACCCTGTGCTCTGCCATGATGGGACAGCGGATTCTGTGTAGGCGTCTGTGATATGATTGTGAGGACTATGAAGATATGAAATGCGGGATGACTTTTACCCATCTGCGCGCCTGCATGCTTCGTTACAGTAGGGCGAGGTTCCGCACTACGGAAATTGAGGAAATGAATAGAACCCAGTGCTATTAAGCGCACCTTTGGGCAGTAAATTGCTTCCACCGGGTTCAAGAACTTGCTGTGGCAGCCATTGCATGGCACCTTGGTATCTTTCGACGCTCGGGCGGGACGCTGAGCTTGATTCAGAGACACACTGGGACGGTTGTCGGGGGATGCAGGTGCAGTCAGAGCGGAACCATGTGCAGGAGGGAAGTCCATCCTTCGGATTTCGGCGACAGAAAGGCTAGGTTTCCCCGCAGAGTCGTGCATGCGCATACTCTCGACGAACGCGGCCCGTGCCTCTCTGTGAGTTGGTTCCGTCGCGAGAACACTGCTAAGGTCCACAAGACAATGGGGTAAGAGGCCGAGCCCTCTGCGCGCCATGGCCCGTCGATATCTCGCCTTGACTGATCTACAATCTCGCATAAGTGCGTTGTGAGCTGCATCCTGCGCCAATTCGAATCTAATTTAGCAGGTTAGCTATTTTCGAGACCGAGTTCGGGGAATCTGACCGCTGAAGTTTAAGATATGCTGCGGCGAGGTTGCTGTAGTATACTGCGGATTTGCCATTATCGGCCACGATCGCATCCTCGTAAGTCTTGGCCGCCTCTTCATACCGCCCGTTGCGGAACAGCGTCCCGGCCTTCGAGATGTCAAACCCGAAGGAGAAGTGAATCGAAAGTTTGCACCTTTTCATTCAATTGAGGCGCATCCGGTGCATCGGCCATGATGGAGGAAAGAGAGATGGAATCGTTCGCCCTGTGAAAACAACACCCGCAAAGCAAGTTTACCTCGTTTTACATAATAGAAGCCACTGCAGGCCAGTGGGGACTCGGACGCACCTCAATTCTGAACTCAGATGGAAAACAGTTGCGAGAGAGACATCCTGCGCTCAAGGAGGGCAATTCTCTGCAGATGAAACGCAATGCACGTCCAACACCAACAAAGAGCATCCGCTCACAGAGCGGTTCAAACCACGACAGGTTACCCGAAGATCATGCCACGAATTTTCTGGATAGCAATTGCAGCCAACGACTGGAGGACCGTCAAGAGGATCAGAGGATGGAGCACAAAAGATAGACAAGCGTCGGAAGAGAATGCAATGACGGGATCTGGAGGCGAAATCACAGAACAAGTGGTGGCGATAGCGGTGGTTGGGAAAAGTACGGTTCACTGCAACATCATTGAATCATGATCCCGTGATAGATAATCACCGGCGGCTAGTACGGCCGGAAGTTACCGACGTCATGCTCTATTATTATGGAATCTTCAAACGGCGTGAATTCCGTCGCTTCCAAGACACGACATTCCATTATTTATATACATAGACGAGGTTGTGGAAGCTGTGCTAACATTTCTGTCTCCTCAGAATGTCGAAAGGTGTCCCAGAAATCATCGAACATGGACGACGATTTAGACACGTGATTATGCAATCAATCTTGGACGGGTTTTCTTCAACGACAGCATACGGGTCTCAAAATTCTCGAAAATATTCCTGCACTCTGTGTGAGAGTATTTGAACCTCACTGACACAATTTAAACTGGTAGGAGACTTTTATCAGGGCTTCACGCGGGCATGGGATGGGAGGTTGAACTGCAAGGTTGAATTTATCATTTCCAGTTGTCACTGCTTCTTTAACCAGGGGTTGATTTATCAGAGTGATTTGAGTGGAGTTTGTCGCCAAAAAATAAAGGGGGACTCACATGGAAGAGTCAGGCGCCCGAGAGGAAAATGAAAAATGCGGGAGGACAACGGGAGGAAGAAAAAAAATAACTCCCCATTTGGACATGGCCTGACCCCGGATCGAACGGGAATCTTCTGCAGAAACACGCACAAACCGTAATCAATGCAAATGCACTGCTATCAGGCCAACACTAGTTCTCTCAGATCTTTAAGCTCGCAGCCCTCACAAATTGCGAGGCCGAATTTCGAGTTGAAATTTGTTTCTGCCTTCATTTGGGTTTAAGGGAGTGAGGATTCAAAAATATAAATGAGGCAGTGAAGGGTGGTGTAAACCCGCTGGTTTACCTATCGGCGATCACGCCGCTTACATACATAGTGTTATGGATTTAAGAGATTTGGCGGGCGCGCGAACGTGCTTAAATCCACACTTGATGCCCAACCGTGTGATGGCGACGGTTCGCGC